GATAGTGTTACATGATTAAAAAACCATCCTCCTATATATATATTTTTTCCCTTGAGCCTTTCATGAGACAAGCATGTCATTATTCATTATAATTGAGTTCTTTCTTATTCATAGATGAGAAGAGCAATATTTGGAAATTTTGAACCAGTAACTCAAGTACAACTGGACAGTAACTGGGAAAACAGTCACTAGAAGTAAAAGAGTGAAAGGGGCCGAAACCGGTGTGGCTCAGTGGATAGAGCGTCGGCCTGCGGACTGAAAGGTCCCGGGTTCGATTCTGGTCAAGGGCATGTACGGGGGGGGTGCAGGAGGCGGCTGGTTGATGTTTCTCTCTCATCAACGTTTCTAGCTCTCTATCCCTCTCCCTTCCTCTCTGTAAAAAATCAATAAAATATATTTTAAAAAAAAGAGTGAAAGGGGAATTTTGAATGATTATGCATAATCATAATGTGTAAAAACTGGGATTTCTAAAACCCCCAAACATAGTGACCAGCGATAATTATGGAAGTCACTATTGTCATTCTGTTTAATGATTCTTTGGGTTTATAGATCAGTTCTTGTACTGATTTGACCTGGATCATTGATGTGACTGTAGCCAGCAGGTACTTCCCCTGAGCCAGGTTGCTCTCAGGGGATTCATTAAGGCTTCAGCTGTGATGGCTGGAGGCTGGAGCAGCTGGGTTCCTTTCCTCATGGAGTCCCACCTCCTGGGCTTCTTCAGAGCGTGGAAAATCTCCAGATGAGTAGGAGGGCCGGATTGGGAGGCTAGCCTGGGAAGTTCCATGCCACCATGCTTTTGGTAAAAATAAGCGAGGACTTCAGTACTTGTCAAGGGATGAGGAAACAAACTCTTGAGGGGCAGTGTGGCAGTCCCACTGTAGAGGGCGGTGGACAGGCGGATTGGATTCTCTGAGGACCAGTTTTGTAAGAATCCTACCACAGTGGCCATATGTTTCTTACTTTACAAGAGCATTCACCTCTTTTTCTCATTTAGTTTTCACAAGAACCCTGAGAGTTGGTATACTTTTTCCATTTTTGGAGGTGAGAAACCTAAGGTTCTGAAGAGTCCAAATCGATCTATGATGGCAGAGCTAGGATTTAAAGTCACACATTGTCAACAACAAGCACACGTCTTCCCGTTTTCCCAAGAGTAGGTTATAAATTCTAAAGCCTACTGTAAACTGGCTAAATAATGTTGAAATATCTGAGGTACAATCTCAACACTTATTAGAATTTTCAAATTACAAATGAATGTTGTAAAGTGACATAGAAATTATTAATTTTGTTCTTAATATATCTTACGCCTTTAGGAATTTTAAATACAAGTGCCTTTCCCTATTTTAAATTACAGTTTATATTTATTCCTGTAATTTTTAAATTACAGGAATAAATATAAAGGGAAAGAAACTCTCTGATATTCCAGATGTTAGAATTCACAAATAAATGTATCAGACTCTTCTCTAAAACACTCTTCATGCTTTGTCCCTCAGAACTGAGAAGGCAGTTTATAATCAACTATAATCTCACTTGAATTCCCTCCATTCTAACTGCACATCTCATTTTAAAGCAGAGCTAACAAAAATGGCCGAGAAAAGCAATTGAGAAGCAGCTCAGCCATAACAAAAAATTATGTTGGACCTTAATGTCCTGCAGGTTCCTGATCCACTAAATTCACACAACCCTCTCTTACCTTCTATTGGAGAGAGAACGTTAAAAATGATATGTGCCCATATAGAAATGGACATAATGTGTATATTTAAACAAACAAAGTTATACATCCACACATACACTACAATCCATGGACTTTTAAATCCAAGGAGTCATGTTTAGTTGGTAACGATCACGTTGAGATTTGTTCTAATTTACCAAAATGGAAACTACTTGGGGAACTGAGACAAGAACAAAACAAATAGGAAAAGATCTGGATTTCTGGAGGTAAGACGTTGTTTTAGAAGACATAATGGTATAGAACAGTGGCTGTTTTAAACAACTAATAATTCATTAGTTGTTTAAAACAGCCACTTGATAGGTAGGTTCATTTTATGACCTACCTATCAAGATGGGACCTCAACTATCAGCTTGTTAAATTAAGTATAAATTCAAATAAATGATCATTAGAGTAGCGGTATGACAAACAGGGAGCAATAAAGATTTTGAACCCAGCACCATCAATTTGCAGAATGAAACAAATTATGATATTTTTTCTGTGTAAGCAAGTAGGAACTCGATAAAGTTATCTACAGCATTTAACTCTTAGATTTCTGAGAATCCACACAAAATGAATTCATTATTCCCTTTTAGATAATACACACCTCCAAAGCACAAGAAGTCTTAAGCCCAAATAGAGGATTCAAAAAAGAAATGTTAGTCAAAACTCTCAAAGGCAAAATCATTTTCAGAAGTCAACAACAAAATTTTCCCCAAGTGTCAGCATCATATCTTTTGTTTTCATAGTCCAATTACTCTTCTCACCATATACCCCCATTTTCCTATTTTTTTTTTTTTTTTGATAATGTTTGCTTCTGGGAGAGAGGAGGGAAGGAAAAGGTGAATGCACATTTTTACACAAACCATTACTTTTTGGTTAGCCTAGCAACATTACTTTGCATATTGCTTATCATTTCTTATTGCTTCACAGGATCCTTTTTATAGGCAGAGGAAGTGAATATAGTTAAGAATATATTTTCTTATTTAATCATTTACTCTGAGGTTAGAGTTGGAAAGCATATTTATCTGATTATTTTTTAGCTTGTGGCCTGTGGGTATAATTCCGTCAAATATATTTTATTTTCACAAACCTTTAGCATATTCAGAGAAAATAGCCAATATGTGACTCTTCTCCTTTCTTACCTTCATCCAGACTGTTACTGATTCACAGGCAGTCTGAACCATGGGGCAATTACTTGTTTTGTCAGAGAAGAAATGATGACTCAGAGTTGTGTACCAAATTATTTCCTTTTTTGAAGCTAAATCATTTCCAGGAAGTATGACCATAATGTATTTGCCTCCAAGTGTGGCCATCAGGATGACTGGTTGCCTGAGCTTGACTTCTTTGTATGATGTGAGAGCATTTTCTTCTTTATTTAAATGAATGACCTTTTGTAGTTGTGACTTTGTAAGTCACATTTGTTAGTTTTGAGAAATTCAAAGTTTATGCAAAGTTCTTGTAGGAACTCAACCAGTAATGATACTTCAGCAGATGATTAGCTATAATCATATAGCCGCATGTTGTTATAACTATGCCAAGTGTTTATTTTTGTCTTCCCAAAACTACTTTTATTGGCAATTCAATAAACTTTGAGCCCTCTACACACACTATACTCCAGGTCTCAGTGCCTTTTCACATTATTTTTCCACCTAGAGTTTTCTTCTTTTCCCACTTCTACACGTCTACAAACTTCTTAGTCTTCAAATGTCTGAGTCCTTACTGAGCTTCCAGTTGAAAATGACTTATTCATCTTTAACCTGCTCCCCCTCATCGTAGTTTTGTTCCATGAACAGAATCATAATTCTTAACAATAGTTTCTAGTTTTGATAAAAGTGAAATGCACAGTGTCAAATTATTAAAATGATTATTGCAAAACCTTGGAAACATACCTTCTGAGCAACTCATTTATTTCTGTTTTATTTATTTTGTTAATTCCCAGTTGTTAGCTTTTTATTTTTTATTTTTTGATCCCCAACAATTGGGACCTTAAGACTACTTTGTTAGGAAAGGCAAGTAGTACATTTGGGGCTATAGATCCAGTGCTGAATTAAGTCAGCTGTGTGATTCTATAGTATGCAAATGAATTGACCTTTTTGGGTTCTTCTAGCCACATATTTTACAAAATAAATAAACAAACAAACAAACTCATGTTTACCAAATTCCATCATATAACATATTCTACAATCTATATCTTACTAGAGTATCCTAACCCCAATTTCCCACAACCATTTACTTTTGTGTAGTCCCTTTAGGGCACAGCACAGTTATATGCATTAAAAAACCATACCTGCTTATTGATGCTGTACCTAAGGTTTTAATCTAATTGTTCTGGGAAAGATCTAGATGCAAAAGGGCCAGTTTTAGCTCCTTTGGAAAAATTTAACCCAAAGATACCATGTTTTTCCTGTAGTTCTCCAGTTACTTGACTCCATTCCTAGAATCCTTTAAAAACCCTCCTGGGGAAAACACACGCACACACACACACACACCAAAAACACACAAACAAACCCAAGGACTCCTCCTCTCCCTCCCCACCCTCCACACACACACACACACACACACACACCAAAAACACACAAACAAACCCAAGGACTCCTCCTCTCCCTTCCCACCCTCCACACACACACACACACACACACACACACACACACACACATCACACACGTTAAAACCACAAATCCCATGAAAAAAGAAAAAAAAAAAAAAGGCTGGGACTAGCCAATTCCCCTCCAGCTCCCTTGCACCCCCGCTTTGAGTGCATCCTGCCCAAAGTCAGGCTGAGGCGCCCTGCCCCACGCCTGAGAGGAACCAGGGCAGGTTGGTCCAGGCTTCCCACGGGCGCTCCCGCCGGGGGGCCGGGCCCCTTTAAATCGGTGCCGGGAGCCGGGAAAGATGCTGAGCGACGCCGGCGGGATGGGCGTGGGCCCGGCCATCACCTGTTCCGCGGCGCGCACGCGCACTGCGCGGGGGCGGGGCGGCGCGCGGGGCCGCGGCGGCTGCTCGGGCTCCGGTCTGCGCGGCGGCGGCGGCGGCGCGGCGGCGGGGAGCTGTCTGCCGCCCCGGTGGCCTGGCGCTGTCCAACATGGAGGAGGCCCGGGCCGCGGGCGCCCGCACCTGCGAGCGGGACTGATCCGCCCCTTCCCGCCTGCCGTTCCGGGGAGCGGCGCCGGGTCCGAGCCCAGCACGCCCCGCTGCTGCTGCCCGCACAGCCGGCGGCGGCCGCGGCTCCGGAGGCGCACGGCGCCTGCGGGGAGCGCGGCGGCGGCGGCGGCGGCTCCGAGCGCCCTCCGCCATGGGCAACGAGGCGAGCCTGGAAGGGGAAGGGCTCCCCGAAGGGCTGGCGGCGGCCGCGGGAGGGGCCGGCGGCGCGGGGAGCCCCCTGCCCGCCGCGCTCCCGGCCGGCGTGGAGGCGGACCTGAGCCGGCTGAGCGAGGACGAGAGGAGGCAGATCGCCGCCGTCATGTCAAGGGCGCGGGGGCTGCCGGCGGGGAGCGCGCCCGCCGCCGCCGCCGCCGCAGCCGCCGCCGCCGAGCCGCCTCCCCGGCACAGGCACGCACCGCATGCTGTTCCGTGTCCCGGCGTCCGTGTCATATATGTGCGGCTCTCCTGGCACATGCGTGTCAGCGCGGCGGCGCATATATGTCCTTTCCGTTGGATGGGTCCTCCCGAAGGAAGGGGGTGGCTTTTAGAAGAAATCAGAAAGCCTTCTTTCTGATGGGCAGAGCGGAAAAAGCATGCCTTGGTAGACTTTCTGGTGGGATGGGCAAGGGTGGCTTGCAGTCTTGGAACCGTGATTTGGGGTTGTGATTTTTATTATTAATTATTATTATTATTATTATTATTATTTTGGCTTTTTGGAACCTGTTTTCCCCCACTAGGATGGCGAGGAGAGACGCCCTCCCGTGTATTTACTAATCTGGAAGTCTTGCATGAATGCCAGACAGATATCTGTGCTGGGAAAAGGATAGGATGGATAGGTGTGGGGTGTTTACCTGTCTCTGGTTAAGACCTCCTCAGTCATTTGGAGGGGAGTCTTTTTTTTTCTTTTTCTTTTTCTTTTCTTTATCCATGTCTCCATGTGTCTCTCACAATACCATTCATTCCCTGGAGGTGGTGTGTTTTGTCCTTCCTTGCCATCCACCCCCCCAGAGGAGAGCGGGGGCTGTTGAGGGAGAAGGTATAACACGAAGGCATCCTTTATGCTCCGTGCGGGGCCCTAAAACAGGCTGTGGCATGCAGCAGATGGGTTGGTCACAGACAGCAGAGCAGGTGCTGTACGTGTATTTCTGAATTGGCATAGGCTATTTTTTTTTTTTTTAAACCGCTGCTCTTTTCTATACAGAAGTGCCTTACAGTTTTTATGGAAGAACATGTCCATTTGGGGTATCTTAAAATTAGTTTCCAGTTCATACTTTTAAAGGCAAAGCTAGATCAATGACAACTCGCACAGGCCATCCAGTGCTAGCCTGCGGTGTGAACGTGCTCATTTTTTTCTTTAGTTTTCCATTTCCCTTCGTCCTGATAAATTAGTTGTTTTTCTAATTAGTGTACTAAGAGGGTATAATCATCGTGCCAGCTCTGCCTTCATTATTGTAAACAGATCCTTTAACTCTCCCCCTCCCCCCTCGAGAAGAGTTCTCTATTGGTGGTCCTGAAATCATTCCTGCTTTATGATACCTGAAGGGGAAACTACATTTTTTTATTTGAAGTATTAGAAATATTGCAGATCTGAATGTATAGGTGTAGCTTATTATACTGTACTTTCTAAAATATTTAACTTAAATACTATCATATACGCATATGCAAATGATTGTGTCAAATAATTACAATGCTACATTTAATATAGGAGAACTGTAAAGATGAATTATGGATACATAAAATGTTTTATGATAGTATTTTTTCATATAAAATCCCAAAGGCCTAAAATCTACCAGGTAAAAACCCTATTTTCTTGACATGAAACCACCACTGCTAGTTAAGTTAGCTACTTATATTGACTATGTGTTTTGTCTTGTTTTTTTAAACTACTAATATATTGGGCTATTTCTTTGGTCAAAAGCCCTTCTTATTCATTATTCTAAGTAGTACAGCTATGTACTATTTTTCTCTACAGATAAAAATTTGACTTGGAAAATATTTTGTATGCTCATATACTAGATTTCCATAAGATAATAATGGGGCACAATATTTCTATTAACCTTCTAGAAATATATGCCTGCTCAACAGTTTTTCCTAAGAGGCATAAGCAACAGGTTTAGCATGCTTCTTACAAATACCAAGAAAAGTGGGAGCTTTGATTTCTAAATTCCTAACTTTTCTTCTTTCAGAGGATGACTGAAAAAATATTTCAGCCTTTGTTTTATGCACTATTTGTATCAGATAGCATACTTTTAAAATCTCTATTAATAATTTTATGGTAGAATTTTTATTAGTAGGTAATTTATAACTTCTTATTGGTTAAAGCTTCACCTAATTATATAAACAATATATTTCTAATTTTTGCAACTTGCTTATATTTTACTGAAAATTTTTTATAAGAGGCACATAAGTTTTAGAAAATTATTATCCCCATAGGTGATAACAACAAAAAAAATACTTGGCTTATTTAAATATTTAGAAACACATTAATTTAAGTATATAAGAGAAAATATATGCAAATTATTTGAAGTTTTAAGAGATTAAGTGCTGTAAATTAGACACGGTTGGGTATGATTTTTAAAACATCTTTTATGGGTTGAGAGCTCAGGGACCTAGGTTTTTATTTTGTTAATTTTACCGACTCATGAGAAATTATAAATGCTTCTCAGTCATATGTGCCTCAGTTTTTTTTCTTCTAAATAAGACAGGCAATACTTGTCTTACCTGTCTTGTAAAGTCATTCATTGTGAGGATCAATTAAAAATTCAGAAGGACTTTTTGTTTGAATTTTAAAATGAAAAAAAATAGTAATATTAATATCAGTAGTGAATAGCACTGGCAGTGATGGCTACAGACAAGTTGTATGTTGAGTTATTCATTAATATGAATTAGTTTGATATGTCTATATTTTACATATTGGACAGTCAGTGCAATATAGTGGAAATCCCCCTGGAATCAAGGCACCATATATCTGTGACTAATTTTATAACATTGGATTCATTTCTTAGCCTCTTTAAGCCCTTTTATGCTCTACAGCATAAAAACGAATTCCTGTAGTTGCTTGTATTTCTAATGTAAAATTTTATGTGACTCAGCACATGAAGTTAAGTGTCATTGCCTATTGTGCTGCACTTAACAAAATATCCCAGCATTCCAACGGCTTTTACAATCTACTCTTAAGTACATGTGTACCTCATATGTAGATGAACCAGTTTCCTCCTGCTAACCTAAAAAAAGAAAATTCTACCCTGGGGAGGACAGTAGTAAAATAGTGATATTGCATAAATCATGGGTAATTATAAGCAAGAAGTCACAGGTTACAAATATAATGTTCTTGGATTTTTGATTCGACATAGACCCAGGGAAATGCCATTTTATTACTTCTCCTACACATTCTTTCTACAGCTACAGAAATGTCATGTGAAAAGGAATTACCAAAAACCACCTTTAATTAGTGGAATATTTTATAAGAATTCCGAGTTTCTCAGTTATTTTCTTTAGCATTCCTTTGAGCCTCCCCTACTGTCTAGACACTTCCTCACCTGTTTGTCTTCCTAGAGCAGCAGGCCAAATCCAGGATCTAAAAAGAATATGGCATGCTTCCAGTTATATCTCAGAAGGCCTGTGGAAGAATTTGAAGTGAAAAGAATTCAGGAAACATTAATTTAGAACAATACAAAACTTGGCATGTTCATCATTTGCTCACTCATTGTAATTCACTCGTCAATCATTAATGCTCATTTACTAATAGTCAACAGGTTTGGTTCTAGTGGTGCAAGGATGAGCAAAGCACATGGTCCAGGAGTTCATAGTCAAGTGAACAAGACATGGATGGCATTGTAGTTATTTTTCTTTTTAACAGAATAACTGTCCTACTAAACAAATCCACCAAAAGGCCACAGTTTGCTAAGGCAACTTTATATTTTTGTTTGGTATGGAGCCTACATTTTCTCTTTTCATATTTCATTTTCCATCATCATTTATCCCCTCCAAAATGACTATTTCTCACTCCCAAGATTTCCATGTTTTGCATTTATTTACATAATTATAGCAACTAAGACTAAGTTTAAATAGTAAGGCAACCTTGATAGTTATATCGGGATTCCCCCCCCTCCCCCCAAAATAGAAGATAATTAAGAATAGATTTTTTTTTTTTTAGTATTGTGTTTAAATATACATTTCTAGGACTCTGAACAAGGGAACAATTCAATAAAGTGTCTAAATAATTACTTATAAGATAGTCACTTGTATAACAGAATCCCAAAGTATGTCCTACAAGGGAGTGATCCATTTTATTAATTGAATGTGAAACATTTCTAGAATAATATAAAGAGCTAAACAGTGGTTTACTATGGCTTTTTCTTTCATATGCAAGAGAACACATAGGAAGGCCTATAAAGAAAAATTCAAAATCATTTTTCCCAAATGAAAATATATGGCTATACATTTAAAAACATATCTTAAAACTATTGGAGTTAATATGGGTAATTGATTTTACTCCCTTGTTTAAAGGTTTAGCTTTTACTCCCTTGTTAAAAGCTTCAGAGATATGGTAATACCTGAGTTTTGTGACAATTTTCCTGGAGGAAATTGCCAGAACTACGAATTTTATGTATTATCTTTTATAAGAAAATCACTTTGTGCATACCATTTATAGATTATTTTCTTTCTGACCCTTTCCTAATTAGAAGTAGTACTTCAGTGTTTCTTCTCCCATGCCTTACATTATTTACTTACGAATGATCTGAAATTTAAAATTCAGTCTGTCCATGACCAAGTATATTTTGATAAGACAAATTAAAACCTGTAGAACTTTGTTGTGATCATCTCACATTTTAAGTGCTACTGAATCACTGTTTTTCCTTCATTTTTTCCCCTATTAATTAAAAAGAGGTAAATCTTTTCCAAAATGAAAAAGCTACATATATTAAACAGAATACTTGAAATTTGATTTATTTTTATACCTCTAATGCAACATATTCTTAGTTTCAAATTTATAAATAAAGAAGGACTTAAAAATTAATATACTTGACTTTTAACTAAAGGTGTATATAAGAAACAATTATTTTAATACTTTAACATATTAATTTAAATTGGATCCTCTTACCAAAACTATTTTAAGTTATCCATCTATATTTGTCTATGATTTAAAAGATATCCTTCAAATTAATTACTTCTTACAGTTTAAAGTCAATGCTAATAAATATTATTAGTAATCTAAGAATATCAATGGTATATGTTATAGAAAACATTACTCAAGAATATCATATATTTTCTTCATCTAAGGAAAGTAGCAGTACTTTTCAAAAGTGCCCTCACAGCTAGCTTGTTGCGTTTGGCACCACAGGCTATATCTCAAGATGTTTTAAGCATCTATTGTCCCCTTGCAAACAGACCTCAGATTGAGAATTAACTATTAGAAAAAAATAATTCAGTGATCTAACATTCTTCCACAAGACAGATGGAACTGTTTCCTGAAAGTTGCTAATTAAGTAGAATTTTTCATTCCATAAAGTTTAATATTTGATGGATATTACCTTTTTAGACAGAATAGTGTAAATTGACTAGATGATCATTTTGTCAGAGTCCCTGATAAGTGTAACCTTCTATACTAGAAACTCTCCTGATATCACAATGTGAACAAACAACAAAAAGCAGTTGCAGCGAACTCCCACATTTTAAAATGAATATTTTTACTTATTAGTGCTGCTAGTATTTTGGAGACTAACATATTTTGGGCATATCTTGTGATGGAAAAGGATACATCCTATGAACATGCATGTACTGGGATATAATGTTGCTGAGTTAATATATTTATGTTTTAAATATGGCCAGATTCTATTAAGTATAAATGTAAATGACTTTTATTAGGAATACTTTCTGACTAGGTATCTTAATTTTTCATCATTCATAGTAATAAGTATTGTTTTCTTCCCCCTTTTCTTTGCCTTCATGTAAAAAAAAAAAATCTAACTTTCTTTATAAAGAAAGTAATAAAGGCATTAGATGTTTTAGATCACTTACACTCAGTATAAAAGTAGATTCTAGTTATATTTATACTGTTATAATTTTGAGGATTTAAGAAAGTGATACCCTTTTGATATTGCTTTCGTTGTGATAATTTTGATCATTTTCATTTGTTTGTTTGTTTTGTTTCACTCTTCTAGGAAACAAGAGTTGGATAGTAGTCACCTTCCGAAGCCGCCAGGAAAACCACCGGACCCAGGGCATCCCGCTCAGCCTGGCCTCAGTAAAAGCAGAACTACGGACACTCTGAGGTCAGAACAGAAATTGCCTGGAAGGAGTCCTTCCACTATTAGTTTGAAAGAATCAAAGTCCAGAACTGATTTTAAAGAAGAGCACAAGTCTGGTATGATGCCTGGCTTCCTCTCAGAGGTTAACCCTTTAAGTGCTGTCTCCTCTGTTGTAAATAAGTTCAATCCCTTTGATTTGATATCAGACTCTGATGCATCCCAGGAAGAAACTGCCAAGAAACAAAAAACAGCTCAGAAGGAACAAGGAAAACCCGACGGGATCACAAAGCCTCCATCACAACAGCAGTCACCCAAGTCAGTTCCTAAGCAGCAAGGACCTGTGAGGGCCCCGCATCAGCAGGATGGCTCTCCCAAATCAGCATCTCAGCAACCAGAACAAATGAAATCACAACCTCCAGGGACCGGGAAGCCAATTCAGGGACCTACCCAGGCTCCTCAGACAGATCAGACGAAATTGCCGCTCCAAAGAGATGCCACTAGGCCTCAGACTAAACAGTCAGACACGGCGAAGGGAGAATCCCCCAAACCCTCGCTGCAAAGCTCGTCCAAACCACCGACTCAGCAAACAAGCCCTGGAAAACCTCCAGCCCAGCAGCCTGGACCTGAAAAATTTTCCACGCCACAGCCTGGACCTGCAAAACCCTCAGCTCAGCAGCCAGGGCCAGGGAAGACCCTGGCCCAACAGCCAGGGGCAGCAAAGCCCTCAGCTCAGCAGCTGATAGACAAACCCCCAGTCCAGCCACCAGGGACAGTAAAGCCTGCAGCTCAGCAGCCTGGGTCAAAGTCTCCGGCTCAGCCTCTGGGACCAGCAAAGCCCCCTGCCCAGCAGATGGGGCCACCAAAATCCCCAGCTCACCAACCTGGGCCACAGCCTCCAGCTCAGCCAGCTGGGCCTACAAAGACACCTGCGCAGCAGGTTGGGCCAGTGAAGTCTCAGGCTCAGCAGCCTGGGCCAGGAAAGACTCCTGCTCAACAGCCTGGTCCAGCAAAACCTACAGCTCAACAGCCTGGCCCAACAAAGCCCTCACCTCAACAGCCTGGGCCAGTAAAACCTACAGCTCAACAGCCTGGTCCAGCAAAACCTGCAGCTCAACAGCCTGGTCCAGCAAAACCTGCAGCTCAACAGCCTGGTCCAGCAAAACCTGCAGCTCAACAGCCTGGTCCAGCAAAACCATCAGCTCAACAGCCTGGCCCAGTGAAACCCCCATCTCAGCAGCCTGGCCCAGCAAAACCCCCAGCTCAACAGCCTGGGCCAACAAAACCCCTATCTCAGCAGCCTGGCCCAGCAAAGCCCTCAGCTCAGCAATCTACCAAACCTATAAGCCAATCAGGAGCTGGGAAACCTCTGCAGCCACCAACTTCTCCATCTGCAGCCCAGATTCCAGTTCAAGGCCTCCCTAAAACCATCTGTCCTCTTTGCAACACTACTGAACTTCTGTTGCATCTTCCAGAAAAGGCCAATTTTAACACATGCACTGGATGTAAAACCACTGTGTGCAGCCTCTGTGGTTTTAATCCCAATCCTGATATAGCCGAGGTGAGTGCATTTATTCAGTGTGTCCATGCTCTTAAACCATATTACCATCTTCCACAAAGGATGTTTCACTTACCGCTGGTATGATAGGATGGCATTGTTTTCCTCTGGTTCTTTCCTTCTTTCCCTTCTTGCTTCCTCTTTATCTTTTCTGCCAATTGCAAGTTAGAGTTTTTAAAAACCTTTTCTTCAATAATAACCCTGAAATATTGCCACAGTTTCTGATACATTTGGCATATAAAGCAAATGTGAAGTGGTTGAAAGATGCTGCACTCTGTAAGAACCACAATATTTATTATTTAGTATGTAGTGATATTACTTTAGTTTGAAATTCATGTTCCTGCCTACCAAAATTATGATACTCTTACTTGGGATCATATTTGTGCTGGGAAGACAAGTTTTCTAATTCTAATAGAATTTTAATTTAAAGTTCAATATATTTTTTTTCAAACCACACATCCCTTTTCCTTGACAGAGATTTGGATATCCCCTATGAGGGTATGCTTCCCTCATTAGTTGAGAGTCATTAATAATAGCATAAGTCAGTTCATAAAATGAAGAAGTCATTAGAGAAGATTCAACATTGATAGGTGTTCTTTCAGAAGGACCATAGTTTATATTTCAAGTCTTTGGGCAAGCCTTGTTGACATATCAAATTATAAAGAGGTGCCAAAACCAGTTTGGCTCAGTGGATAGAGTGTCAGCCTGGAGACTGAAAGGTCCCAGGTTCAATTCCGATCAAGGGTATGTACCTTGGTTGCGGGCACATCCCCAGTAGGGGGTGTGCAAGAGGCAGCTGATCGATGGTTCTCTCTCATCGATGTTTCTAACTCTCTATCCCTCTCTCTTCCTCTCTGTAAAAAAAATCAAAATATATTTTAAAAAAATTATAAAGAGGCTGGCAGTGCCACAAATGAATTCAAATTGTATATTCTGAATGAGGATAGAAAAGTAATTTTTAGCAAAGTCAAGGTAAAAACTTGACAACATTGGTGGGGGAGGGACAAAAAGCAACAAATAGCTGAAAAACTCATTCTCTGGAGTTAAGAAGTAATACAGTGAAGATAAGATAATATAAAATAAAGTGAGAATAAAGATGCTTAGCATCTAAAAGAATATATATTTTTAAAAGAAATCTGGTAGCTGGGTAGGCACAGAAATGGTTTAGTCTGTCGGGAGGACAGCTGTTGGTGGGCTGTGTGCATTCTGTCTGGAACAGCCCAGGAGAAAAACAAAAACGACAGCAGACAATGAAGGATTATGTGATTTAAATGCCCCTGAGAGAGGAGACGTGTGTATAAAGGAAATCTATTTTATGAAAACAACAGGAATGAGGATTGATAACTGTTATGTTAGTTTGGATACTTAGGGTGATGAAAGATGAAAATTATGTGCATTCAAAATGTGACAATCTCTTGTTATTTTCTAAAGTGTCTTTCAATCAAAAGTTATAGTGAGTACCTTAACTTTTTAATTAAGTTATTCTTTAATGATAAAGTTTCAATTAATAAGGACATGCTGCTTTCAAGTTATGGAGGATACCAGATTATAAGTATTTTGTTTATGCATTTATGTATTTTTAAATGTTGCTAAAGGTATATTTCTACCCATAATATATGACCGTGATAGGAATGTCCAGTAATAATGACTTCAAAGAATAGATTATTACTTTGTAAAGTATTTTCTATGTTTTTATGGCAGTTTATAAGGCATAAATATGCAGTTGAAAACTCAAGCCATATACACAGTGGGGCACAAGTAGGTTTACAGTTGTGAGTATGCAAAAATAGAGTTTATTTTTGTATTATTATTTATTAATTATTATATTATCTTCCATATGAAAACCATAAATCCACTTTTGTCCCATCCTGTATATTATTTGAGTACATACCATGTGGAAGACATTTTACTCTATATTTTGTGGGATATAAAAATAACTAAAACATAATGCTGATCTTAACATGATCAAAATGTACTAGTAGGTTAGATAATACATGCACAAAGAAATATACTAGGTGGTCAAATGATGATGGCTGTCTTAAGGGTAGGAAGTGTCATTTTCAATGGACGAGATTAATGAGAGCTCAGTGGGGAAAGTGGCATTTGAGCTAGGTATATAAGGCTGGGTACTGTTTCTGTAAATGAACAGGAAAGGCTGTAATGATTTCGTTCAAGACCTAGAGCCAAACTATTGCAGGAATATTTACAGAATCAGGAATAAATCTAGGTTGACTGAAATGGTGGCAAAGAAGAAACAGGCACTGAGATTGGAGAGAAGTTGAAGTCAGATTTTGGTCTTCCACTTTTAGCAGGTAGAGATGGGCATTCTGCTTTATGAAACTTGACTAACGTAGTCATACCTTCAATCCTTCATTCATTTTAGAAATTCATATCAAATATCTAGTTTTGAGGCACACAAATAAGTGAAAGGACAAAATCAAGTATTCCTTAGATACAGAGTCATCCTTCTTTCACACATATATTTGTGTGTGAAAAGTAACTTTGTATAGGGCTTTATAGTTCACATAGTTCTTTCCTATTTGTTTTATCAAAATTTGATTTTCAAATAGTTCTATGGGCACATATTTTGTTTTCTCTATTATACTAATGAGAAAACTGGTGTCCTAGTGGTTCCTATGGTTAGTTTCCTTTCAGGATCACCCTGAGAGTAAATGGCTAAGCAGAACCTAAGCCAAATCTTCTGGTTCCAAGTCATGATGGGAGGAAAGAGAAAGTGCTATGAGGTCAAAGGAAGAAACTGTCATGATCAGCTGGGGGTATCACCACTGTTTTGGTGAAAACAAATATTTGAGCCGGGACTATGAAGATTAATAAGAATTTGGGTCGAAACCGGTTTGGCTCAGTGGTAGAGCGTCGGTCTGCAGACTGAAAGGTCCCAGGTTCGATTCCGGTCAGGGGCATGTATGTTGGTTGCGGGCACTTCCCCGGTAGGGGGTGTGCAAGAGGCAGCTGGTTGATGTTTCTCTCTCATCGACATTTCTAGCTCCCTATCTCTCTCTCCCTTCCTCTCTGTAAAAAATCAATAATATATATATAAAGAATTTGGACACACACGAAAGGTGTTGGGAATGTGAGGGCTGGTAGAGGGCCTCACTTGTAATATAGGACACATTCCCAAATTGACGAGATGAGATGAGTCTTTTACACTTTGTGTGACTGTGACATCATTTGAAAAATAATAACATGTTCTCTGTCCAACACAGTAGGTCATTAGGGGGATTAACTGGACATTTGTATGAGGAAGTGTTTTGTAATATACGAAGTGCTTTTCAAGTTGTAACATAATGTGACATGGATATTCTACCTTAAATAGATTTGACTTTTGAAGTTACTCTCAGTTTGTTTTCTACATAGATACAGCATCATAAATTGCTGGCTTCTGAGGTTGCAATCAAAATCCACTTGATCTATGGTGTTAATAGGAACATTTCATCTTAACTTTAATTTTTTCCCCTCTAACGAAAAATGCAATCCAAGTCCTAATTCTGAACTCTAGGAATGCATCTTCCCTAATCCTGTTCACCAAATGGCCAGTTCCTCAAACGACCAAATTATCAGAAGGTCAGAGTTGGGAAGTTTAAGCTCTGGATAGAGACTGAGAGCCTCTGTTTTAAGAGAGATAAGATAGATAAAATTTTAGGAAAGATCTTGACTTCTAAACAGTTAAATATTTGATGAGAGAGTTAACTTCTCTGCATCTTCCAAGAAAGATCATATACTCTGGGTCTAATCATCCTGAAATATTCAGGCTGAGTGAACAGATTTTCCATGCAAGACAGGAAAAGAGGCTGAACCTTCTGTAGCATTTTATGTATATGAATTTATTGTTTCAAGTTTGATGTTTATATGCAGTAACTCACTATTATTACTTTTGTAGACTACGGGTAAAATAGAATATTGGTGTCTTATATTACTCCTTGAAAAGACTACGATAATTTATCTGATATTTCTTGTTACTAATATCAGAATAATGACTACATTTGCTTATGAAGATTCTGGCTCTTCGATGACTGCTAGGTCTCTGGGGGGAGCACTGGGAAGACACCAACACTCAGGGAAGAGCTTTTGGGAAGGAAACTTACTTACTTAACTAAATTGGCCAGTTTTCCCCTCTCCCTTACACACACACACACACACACACACACACACACACACACGCACACACTTTTTAGGCCACCAAAATTTCTGTGTGAGGAGGATAGTTTTTAAATTAATTGTCCTCTCTGGTACTGTCAAGATGCATACTTCCATGCTTTTCCAAATAAACCTTAAGAATAGACTAGTTCCAAGACAAGACTAGACTTTTGATGCCAAGAGGAGTATATATTTATATCTCTTCTTGCCAGTCCATTAATGGATTATATCTCAACAATGCAGGCTCTCTCTTTGGCATTGCTTTTTGATACAAAACAGTATTTGCTTTCTATTTCATAGAAAATAGTTCATTTAGGAAACATAAAGAACTTATAAAATTGTATTATCCCTGAAAAAATATTTAAGAGGATAAACTCATCAATGACTGCCAGATTCCAATTTCAGTGGGCTGTTAGAGGGTAAAAATGGGCCCAGGCCCATTTGATGGTCTGGAAAAGAAAGACCCAGAATTCCCCCAGATAATAGAACTAAGAGACAATAAAAAATTAAAGTACTTATTTTAAAGTATTTGTTAAGCATCCACTATATTTCAGGTACTCCTCTAGACTCTGGGGATATAGGCATGAAAAAAAAATAGGTAGAAAAATGTAGCCTCATGAAACTTATTTTTTAATAAGAGTAACAAATAAAACATATAGTGTGACAGATGATAGAAGGTATTACGGAGAAAAATGAATTAGAAGGTTATGGGAGGGGTGGGATGGGGTGGTAGGGTACCCTCCCTTCCATTGGTAGATTAGAGTACGGGAGTTGATGGATGACTTGGAAATCTGGAATTTTTAGTGGTAACTAAAGGTCTGTCTCATTTATGTGCATAATTTTTTTAA